TTATCTACCGCCGTTGGAAGAAACATCTTTACCACCTGCAGCAACTTGTCATTGTCACGCCAGAAGCATAGCAACTCTCTCTATCTCTCACTCTTCTCGCCTCAGGCGAAGACCTGCCTCCATAATGCAGCCCTTCTCTCTCTCTCTCTCTCTCTCTCTCCTTACATATCTCATTCTTAGTCTCAACCCCTCCAAGTCGCCGCTCTGACGCCCTTCCCTGCCAAAGCTATTCTTCAAGAAGGTTCAACAGATTTGAAATACATCTTGAATCTGGCTCTATTGTTCATCATTGTTGTTTTGGTTGCTGCCTTAGGGTAGTCGATTCAATTGTAGTTTGTCAAAATGAGAGAGACGTTGCGGGAGGCAGATTAGGGCCCGAAAAAGATGAAATGAAATAGATCAATGCTGGGGAGATTGAAGGCGGATGGACAGATCAGAGATAAGCAGAACTTGTACTCGGAAGGTAAAATTCTTCGCTTGAGAATTGTTTCTACCTCTCCCCTTCTCTCTCTGTTTTTGTTTTTGAAATTTCCCTTGTTGTAATTCAAACCCCAAAGTTGTCCTTATTTCTAATAATGGCTTTAATCGTTATTTTAGATTGTCTATGGGTCATTTAGATTGAGCTCTATACTGTTATTGATTTGATTCTTTTGGGAGTTTATTTTAGAGTTTTTAATGATTGTGTAATGCAAAGAAATTTCCTTTTGTTCAGATCAATGTTCCAAGTAACATTGATTTTGTGTGCATGATTTTGTTTTTGATGATTTTTTTAATGAGTAAACACTTTGGGTGTTTTTCAAGTTTTGTTTATGTTCTAGTTTTTAAGTTGTTTTAAGCTCTTAATTCATCTATTTTATAGTTCTTTCTTTCTTTCTTTCTTTATTTTTTTTTCAATTTATGTATTTATTTATTTTTGGGGTTCTAATTTTTAAGTTGTTGTTTACAACTTTGCCTTTTTGTTATTGTTTTATTGGGTGCTTTTAGATTTAAAATATTTTTTTTTTTCAGATTTTGTATTTTTCCTGGTAATTCAGTTGTTAATGCAACTGTTTTTTAACAAGGTTGTGATGTATTAAATCAACTAATTTTTATCATTTTTAGAATTCCATTCTCCAAAATTAATTACAACCAAGGCTGTTTTTTAATTCAACTGTTTTTTTATTGATCAGAAGCGTCTGTTTCTGGACTTACTCAGTTACTTTGTTCGTCCTCGCCTGTATGTTCCTGTGTGTGTGTGTGTGTGTGTGCACTCTTCATATTTTCAAATTAAGAGGTTTTCTCAAATGGGTCTCTGCCATTATTGCAGGAGAGTTAGAGGTGGTAATGGTTGCAAAGTTAGGGACAACAATGGTAGCTCTTCATCTCTTCTCTCCACCGATAGCAATTCTTCATCTCTTCTCTTCGATCTTAACCAACAACGGCGCATCTCTCTTCCACCGTTGAGAGTTTGATGGTTTTGTGTTTCTAAGATTTGGGTTTGGTGGGTTATGACCATAGTTCTAAATATCGGCCGATACGCTACGTATCGGCCGATACGTATCGGAAAAATGGGGTACCGCGACGGATACAGGCCGATATACCACTGAGATTGAAAATCACAGGAGTATCGGCCGAGTCCCGGTACGTATCGGCCTGTAAGCGTTGCACAAGCCGCGACGGGCCGATACTCACCGGTTCGGACCGGTACGGGAAAGAAAAAGTTGAAATACCTTTGAAATGATTTTTAAAATTTCACCACCGCGACACCCGATTCCCGATACGTACCGATCCATACTACCGATACCGATACTTCGCGATCGATACCGTTACGTTACCCGATACCGCGATTTAGAACCTTGGTTATGACTCCCATTCGAAGCTCAAACTTGAGCAACAATGAAGTTACAGAGATGTAGAGGAGCAGAAGAAGTAGAAAAGCAAAAGTATAACAAGAAAATAAAAAGCAAAGGGAGTGAGAGGCAATCCATGCGGGTCTGCTTTCCTTTCCCAAAAATAGTATTCACCATGTTTGTTTTCAGTTTTTTGAAAATATTTTTCAGAAAATTTTACTTTTTTATTTTTCGTATTTTTTTGTTTTTACTAAATTGTTTTAATATCTTAAGTAATTTTTTAAAAAATTTTAGACGCACTTAACATAAATACACTTAAAAAGTATAAATTTTGTGAAAAAAAAACTTTAAAAAATCTACTAAATACCAAAAATATTAAAATTCAATATACTTTTCGTATTTTCGTGCATTTATTAATTTTTTAACATATTTTTTTACAAATATTTTACATTTTAGATACATCTAAGTAAGGCGCATTTAAAACAATTAAAAAAAATACTTAAAATTTTAAATATATTCACTAAAAATAAAAAAAAAATATGAAAAATAAAAAACTCAGTTTTCAAAAAATTAAATTTACAAAACTGAAACCAAATACACTGATTGTTTTTATATTAAATTCATAATTTATTTTTAAGACAAAAAGGTTGTGATTACAATTATATTTCAATCTTAACATTATTTATATCGTACCTTCAATTATGGACATCCGTTAGTGTATATAGATATATTTAAATGGTATTGCTTGGTGTCATATCGAAATCAGAAGTGTAAAAGCATGGATTGAATAATGAAGTACAATTTACCTATTTTAAGAATTAAAATTGAAATAAGCATTGAAAAGATCAACCGAACAATAAACTCATTCTGTATCAAAATAATATTTTTTTTTTTGAAAATCTATTTTTTTTATAATACAATTATTAAATTTTAAAAATATTAAAATTTCAAAATTATCTTTTTTGGTGGTGTTTGTTTTGAAGGATTGAGGGGTGTTTAAAATTTTTGCACCGGACTATTGGTCCCAAACTCATTGGACTATTGTTTCCCATTGGGGGGGGGGGGGGTTGGGAGATGTTTTATTTAATTTCATTATTTAAATTTTAATAGATGTTTTATTTAATTTCATTATTTAAATTTTAATAGATGTTTTATTTAATTTCATTATTTAAATTTTAATAGATGTTTTATTTAATTTCATTATTTAAATTTTAATAGATGTTTTATTTAATTTCATTATTTAAATTTTAATAGATGTTTTATTTAATTTCATTATTTAAAATTTTGTTTATATTTTATTTAATTTCATTATTTAATTATTATTTTTTAAAATAAATTTATTTAAAATTTTAATTAAAAAAACATATATTTTTATTGATATGTTATTTATTTAATTTTTAAAAAATAAATTTATTTAATTGTGTAAAAAATAAAATAAAATACATTTTTATTTAATCTAGTTAAAAAATAATTAAAATACTAAAGATATGTTTAATATTGCTATTACTTAGTAAATAATTGAAAAGGGTAAAATAGTCGTTTGAATAATTATCCTTCTCCATAATATCCTAAACAAACATAAGATTCATATCCTATCCAACTAAATAGTTCTTTTCTTACATCTAATCTTATGACTAAACAAATATGGGATACAAATCCTATCCAACTAAATAGTGGACACACTACAACAAAAAGCACCAATGGCGACTAAAAAAATGAATTTCGTTGCTGAAAGTTGCACAAATGGCGACTAAATCCATTTTAGTCGCCAAAAATGAAGACTTTTGGCGACTAAAACCATTTAGTAGCCAAATGTATATGTATTGGCGACTAAAAATCAGTTTGGTCGCCTATTATATGGGTTTCAGCGGCTAACACAATTTTCGTCGCCAAAAGTGATGGTTTTTGTCGACTAAAACAATTTAGTAGCCAAAGGTGCTGGTTTTAGCGACTAAAAAACAGGTTAGTCGCTGAATGTGCAGGTTTTTGGCTACAAAAAAAAATTTAGTAGCTAAAAATTGACAATTGCCGACTAAAACAGGTTTAGTAGCCAAAAACTGACCATTTGTGGCGACTAAAAACAGATTTAGTCGCCAAAATTGCTTTATTTTTAAATGGAACTTAATTTTTTAGCGACAAAAAATAATTAGTAGCCGATAATTATAGCATTGGCGACTAGAAATTGATTTTAGTCGCCAAAAGTGGCCCAAAATTTTTTTTTAATAAATCATTTATTTTTTACATAAATTATATTTGAATAAAAATAATTATATTTATAAATATTGTTTTGTATTAATATCGGACAATATACTATATAAATAATATATATTTCATATATATTCATGTGATGTGTAGTGGCATAGTGGAGGGAGTGTGTTGTTAAAGGTTTGGAATGTTGAACGGTTGCGGTTCGAAACTCAGAAATAGCAAGAAAATGAGATTTTTTTTTTTTTGATGGAAACACCTTCGGCGACTAAAAAGTTAGTCGCCAAAAGTCTTTATTTTGGCGACTAAACGGTTTAGTCGGCCTTTGATTGAGTATTGGCGACTAAATTATTAGTCGGTAAATGTATGATTTTCAAAAGTGTAAAACACTATTGGCGACTAATTTTTTGGTCGCTAAAAGGGCTCCTTTTTGCCGACTAAAACAGGTTTAGTCGCCAATACCTCCCGCGACCATTTATTGGCGACAAAGGCAGCGACTAAAAGTTTTAGTCGGGGAAACCCAAAACATGATTTTTAGCGACTAAAAATGGACCTTTGGCGACTAAAAATTTAGTCGCCAAAGGTGATTTTCCTTGTAGTGACAGTGTATCCTATGACTAATAGTTCGGTGGATTCCAATCACCATTTTCCCAGCCTGTGCAAATAAACACACCCTTATAGTATATTTTTGTGAAAATATCAATTGTCATAAGTGTACTTTTTGTATAATTAATCAATGAAAAAAAGAATAAAATAAAAAATTTATATTATTTTATTTCTTAATTTTTGAAAAAAAATTAATATTTTGAAATATTAAAAAATAAAATAAAAAATTAATATTTTCAAATGAATGGAGTAGGTTAATTTTTTCTGAATGAGACTGATTCGTGATTTTTAATTTTTTTTTTATAAAAGAATTCCAATGATAGAAACAGAAATGAAAACAAAGTTTGACGCGGCACTCTCCTCACCACGAAAAAGGGAGTGGCCACAAAAACTCTATTAACGAGCAAATCTCTCTTTTTATATAAGTGTGGACTTCGAAAAAATATTGAGTATTTTTGTGCATAGTTTGCAGGCAGTGAATTCAGTTTTGAAGACGTTTAGTTGTATACTACAAGGATCATAAAAGGAAAGTACAAACACTCAAAAGTGCTCATGGCGTCTTCTGATAATGAAAATTATGCAACCAAATTTGTGAATGTCCTTGATATAATACAAGACAAGCCAGCAGCAGCAACAGAAGAAGAAGAAGAAGAAGCAGCAGCGGCAGCAACAAAAGGAGGAGGACAAGAGCAAGGACGAGAAAATGGAGAAGGTAATTGATGCAAATATGTAAGACTAATTGATGCAAATGTTTTGTTCCAGGCCTAGATGGATTTTGATTTGTGTATGAACTTATTGGTAAGTTTCCTAATTTAATTATGTGTTGTATTATTCTGCACAATAAGGCTGCGTTTGAAACGTATATTTTGGTAGGAATTATAAAAGAGAAATAGAAAAGATATATGAAATGAGTAATGATTGAGGCTCCTTTTTTAAGAATCCCACAACTCACATAATGATTCATATCATTTATGATGTGGAGCCCATGAGTGGGCTCCATACATCGTGAATGGTGTGGATTACTATAGGGATTGTTGGGATCCTCCAAAAAAGGAGTCTCACTCATTTTTTATATGAAATATGAATTAAATATAATTATATGTCATCTATAGACACTTATCTTTATTTTAAAAATTTTTAATTTTATTGAAATTCATATTCTAGACCTATGTAGTTGGTATTTGTTTTCAAATTCAACAATTCTAACACATATACGAAAAAAAAAATTCAAAAAACACATTGAATAGTGGGTAGAGTCCACTATAAAGAATGTATATATTTCAACCACATATTTCTTTCATTCATTTTCTGGTTCAATTCCTGGTATATATGTCGGGTTCATAGACATTCTGTTCCAAATTGGGGATAGTTGATTGCCCATGTCGTTCTTAAGAATATCAATTCTGTTTGTACACAACACTACTAAGTTTCGGTGAATCACTCTAATTAACAAAACAAAAAAAGGTATGGATCATGAAAAACGTATTCTGAATTTATGTCAAAACGATTTGTATAGTGTAAATTTAAAATTATTATGATGCGAGCACTCTCTAAAATAATTGTGATTTATTAATGTGTTTCTCTAAATAATTTTTTAGTTAATTTTTCTAAATTTGTAATATTAATGTTAATAAAAATGAGTTATAGATGGATCTCCAAGAACATGTATCAAATTTTTCTCAGCGTTGGTGAACTGGGCCCTGCATATTTGACTAACCAAAATTTTATATTGAAAATTTACAAAAATGATGTGATACACTACAATGTATAAAAGTTTTAGAGACTTAGTGGAGCAAGGATCCTCTAGAGTATTTTTTTTCTAAAATTTTCTAGAGTGGTGCATTGTGTGGTTGAGATTTAATGACAAGTCACATCAATTTTTCAACATTAAATCTCAACCACACAATACATTACTTTAGAAAATATCATCAATGTTTTTATGTCAGAACTAAATTCTACGTAGCCTATTAAACATCAACTTTTACACATTACACTATTGCTTCAACAAAAACTAAGCGAAAATCTGTACTTTATTGTTCGCAGTGAGTTTTTATTTTTAAAATAATATTTAATAAGTTAAGCACTCAAACACATTTTCCTTCCCATATTTATCTGAGAAAGTAATTTGTATAGTTAAAATGGGCCGAGTTAGGTTGGAGTGGCGGTCAAAGATGTTTATAGGACCTGTCTACGGGACCTAACTATAGGACCTAGCTACAGAACCAAACTGTTGGACCTAGCTACAGGACCTAATTACGAGACCGAGCTACAGGACCTAGCTACGAGACCGAACTACAGGACCTAGCTACGCGGCCTAGCTATGAGACCTAGCCACGGGACCTAGCTACGGGACTTAGCTACTTCCTAGTGGCGGTCAACGCTATGGCCGAGCTACCAAGCAAGGTAGTCAAACTGAGAGAAGAGTCGAAGTAACTTGAATGACCGCAATGTTAGCCGAGGTAAAGATATCAGCCGAGGTAAAGGGTCAGCCGAGGTAAAGGTGTCAGTCGCTGTAAAAAGAGCTTAGCAAGTGGATCGCAAGTGTTAGCTCGGTCCAAGTGTAATAACGTTCACCACGGTCGGAGTGGAGATAGTTAGCTCGGTCTAAGTGTAATGACGGTCACCGCGGTCGTAACGCGCCATAGTTAGCTTGGTCGTAGTACTTGGAGCCAAGGTATGATGGCTTCTCATGGTGGACCTCGCTTTGGTTAGCGCGGTCTTAGAGCGCCATAGTTAGTTCAGTCCAAGTATGAAAAGGGATTGGCAAGTGTTACCACGGTCCAAGTGTGATTAAAGTCACCAAACGGAGTAAAAGTAGTTATCTCGGTCATGGTATTCAGAACCAAGGTATTTGGGCTTCTTGCGGTGGACCTAGCTATCGTTAGCTTGGTCGGGGGTTTACTATGGTTAGCACGGTAGTAAGTAAACACCACAGTTGGAGTATGTCAAACCGAGGTACACGCAGTGAAAGGAAGAACCAAGCTAGCTGGAGCTCGGTCTAGTCAACGGCTTTAGCATGGTCATGTTAGCTCGGTCGTATTGACATCCAACCGTGGTAAAACCATCTCACTTGGTTTAAGCAGTGAAA